GAGCAGAATAGAATCCTCCGCAGAGGATGGGCCGCCGCGTTCGTTCTACGGGCAGCGATCTGGCCCGTCGACCTGAGCAAATTTCGCAAGGCGAACGACGCAGCGCACGACGCGGCGCACGACGCGGTGTCCACGGCACGAGCCACCATCTCCAACCTCCGTCCCGATCGAGTCGAGTTCTCCATTCTGGAAACGCTGCTTCTCTGTCGCCCCGGTAAATCATCCGTTACTGTATCGCGTCGTTTTCGTTTCACCTCCCGCCTCTCATTCTCATCCAGAGATTGCCGAAACGACCACTGGCTTTCGTTTGACGTCACGAGCAACGGACACCGCGGTGGAAACTCTGGTTCGACACCTGGCAGGTCGAACCGAATCGTCGGCCAGATTGGCCAAACTCATGCTCCTTCTTCCCATTCTGACCGCCTCTTGTCCCCGGGAGCTAGCCACCGATCTTTTCGCTCCCATTATCGGAGACGTCCAAGATCTCGAGAGAGTGATCGCGTCTGTCCGCTGATCCCCGTCCCCGTGAAGCAAAAGGAAGGAGCTGTGCAAGGTGGGCATTCGAAAAAATCCTACTCGCCTTTTATTTTCTTTGGCACTTTATTCACGCAAATGTATAACAATCTTATGCTGTGTGTATAATATGTACAACCGCTTAGGCGGTAATATGGCGCATCGGAGAACACAACACGAGAGAAATGTCGATGGAAACGAGAGGTAATGGAACGATATACTTTTCAAGTCTCCATCTGAATAAAATCTCCGTTCGAATCTGATCCGTGGTGGCACCAACTTTTACACTCCCTCCGTTCCCTCTCGTTTCGTTCCTTGACTTCGAGCAGAGTTACGCGAGTATGTACGACGATCGAAATCCTCGATACACGTTCACGGGGGTAAAATAGAAAACAAAACAAAAAGGTAATGAGACAAGAAAGAAATGTTTAAAAAAATAAACGAAAAACGCGCACCTATGCTATAATAATATAATCGCGGAGGCTCCACGCACAAGCGTGCACGCGCGTCCTCTATCGTTGGGAATAAATTAGAGTACTTTCGGTATAAATGAATGCGCCGCCACATCCGCGCTTTTTCATTCGACTCGCGTTTGCGTCCAGCGTGACACGAGCGAACCGACCGATCAGAGCCTTCTCACCTTAATACTATCCTTAACTATTATTCTCTTGAACCTCCTTCTATTGCACACACCTCGAGACGTGTAAAATCTAGAAAACTAATTGCACCTGACGCGCGAGCTATCTCGTAGCTTGGCGAACATCGCACCGTAATTGTAATCGTAATTGTAATCGTAACTGTAATCGTAATTGTAATCGGCTGAATCGTCACGTTCAAATCTTCCTTCCTTTCTTCTTTTTTTCACGCGGTAATTTATCCAGATCCCGTTCGAAATTTTTCCCATTGCGTGAGACTGCGATTAATAGTACTTTTTCTTGTACTTTCGATATCTTTCCTCCTCGGAATGTCTGTGCAACTGGTCCAAAAGTTCGTTCGGCACGTACCACAATTTATCCGCGTTTACGAGCACAGCTTCCGTCACTTGACAGCATATCGCAGCCATGTTAACCTGTGCGGTCAAATCCGTACGATCGCGAGGATGAACGTAACGCGGTGGAAACAAAGACGGTGCCACGATCATCGCTACGTTATGGATCGACATTTTATTCGACGCTTCATTTTCCACGACCAACTTCAAAAACTTAACCAACGCTCTCAAGGTACAACGATGCTCTATCGGCAGCAGTAGCACCAGCAGGTTCAAAGCGTACGACAACTCCTGACGATCCTTCACTCCTAACAGGTCCGAGAACAAAAGTCACAAACAAACCTGTGTTTAATCAAATCTGTATCGACGTACGGTACACTCTCCTCTTGGAGCACGCTTCCAAATCGTTTGTATCTACTTACCGTGACTTTGGTAGAAAGCATCGATAAGCTCCACGGTAAGCAACGGTTGCGGCAAATCGCGCAACAACTTTTTCAATACTGCCGACAAGTCGTGGCAAGACATACGTTTTAACAATTTCTCTATTTCTTTTGGTTTGCAATAGAAATCCATTTCCAGCTGCACACACATCGACTCCACCTGTGTGTATATATCAAATTAATATACATGTACATGGTAAAATCATCAATCGACACATCGATAAATTACGATTAGCTGAAAATACTTAGTACTTTTTGTTTATGTCCACCGACGCGAAGGATACCTTCTTCTTTTACACCGCGCCTCGTCAATTCGTTCAGAAGCTTTTCAAATACTAGCGGGATATTGCTCTCGTCAGACGTCACTTGACTGTCTCGAAGCAAAAGGGTCGACAAAGATACGCCGAACAAGTTTCCAGCTACGAAAATAATAACACGTTCGATGAATCATCGGGCAATCCTCGTTCTACGCTCTACCAACATATCGATGCGAACCTTTCGTTCGACGCTTGTTTGGTTTACGTTTTTTCAACGGTACGTTGTATTTGTCGAACACAGCGGTCAACTCGAGCCACAACAATGGTTGTAGCCTGGTAAGGTCTCGTTGCGTCAACATTTCTACGCCCAGTCGATCGTGAACCTCGTCGGACGATGCGAGTGTTTCCGATTTCCACAGTTGCGACTTCACTTCGTTCGCTCGACACATTTCCTCGAAGCTCAAGTGACCGTGAGAAGACGTTCGATTCAACGGATGCGTTATCAACCCTTCGTCCCCGGCCCTCGCTAGTCCGTACAGGCTGCTGTGGCTTCTAGTTACCGTTGCGTGACCACCAGAGCTTCTCCTAGAAGAACAACCCTGCTCGATCTCACTCGGCCTCACGTATACCTAACCTAACCAAACTTTCCTACCTCAACGTCGAATCCTTCGAAGCGTTCAATTTCTCTATCGTCTCGCCTAAGCTCGTTGAATTCGCCACTTCGCTAGGATCGCTTCCGCTTCGTCTTTGTATGCTAGGTTTCGAAACGTGTATCGTTCCTAACCTATGATAACCCGTCAACTGAATTCCTTCTGCAATCGAGCGTAACGCGTTCGTTAACCAGCGTAACCTCCTCATCGTTATCTACGTACGTTGTTCGAACGAGTGTTAACAGTGTACAACGTCTAACCGATACCTGAATCATTGGCAACGTCTCCTCGTAACCAATTTCCAGCACGTCGAAAAATTTCTTGAACTGGTAACGGAGTTGCTGCTGGTCCTGCCACCGAGTCTGCTACAGTCGTCGATGGAGCACTCGGTGTTCTACGTACAGTTTCTTTCGATTCGTTCGGTATTCGATGAAACACCGACACAAAGTTTGGCACCACGGTCATGCTTTAAAACACGGTGCATCGTTAATCGATGTTAGACGTCAACGCCACCGACTATTGCAAATGCATCGCGCAGACAGTCTTACTTTGCGTGATGTGCGTCGATAGCCGTTGACGGTGACGGAGGCGATGCGTTTTCCGGGGTCATACCTGTCACGGAATCTAAAGAATCGGGTGTAGCGCTACGTGATCTCGTTCCAGTACTCGATGCCTAAACACAGGTTAACCACCAACAATTTACCAATATCATTCCCGACCGTGATAATTACGCCAACTATCATGCCTACCTCTACGTCTTTGAAAACGTCTCTGATGTCTGGTTTACGAACGCGTTGACGTTGGTTGAAACGTTGTTTCACCGTGTGATTCAAAGACTTAACGCGACGTTTCACCGCTTCTGCCTGTGCTCGTGATAAAGGACGTAATGCTGCACCCAGTTCTTCCGGTTGTACTTCTCTGCCAGCCTTCCATGCTTCTGTCAGCTGTCCTAAACCAGCTGTACGTAACCACTCTGCTTCCTCCTCCCCATCTTTTCAAGTTTAACCATTTGTTCTTTGTTAAATATCACCTTATCGACCAAACTGTTCTACCAATACCATACAGAATATATATATATATATATATATATATACCA